ACGAATTATGCGAACTGACTGAATAAAACGGTACATTTTCTTAAATTCATTCGGCGCATTCAAAGAAAAAAGCATATACGAAAATATTTCTTTTTTAATTTTATACAATTTGATGTTAGACATTGAATCGGATTATCACTTTATTTTATAAAAGGGTATCTCCAATTATTATCATAATTATTATTTTTTTATGTGCAAGAAACCGTTTTAAATAAAAAGAATTTTTATTTTGAGGAGTTTAGGATACAAAGCGCTAAGTAATGTCATTTTTTTTTTTTTAGTTTATTAAAACACTTTATTCAGAAATATTACAATTTGTCACAGTTAAGGACACTTATAATAGAGTTCAGAGATTGCAAATGTCATTTAAGGTGAACGAACCAATAAAATATTTTGCTAAAAAGATACCAACATGATGTATTGATGGATAATATTTTTATCATTATTTTTTTTTTCATTCTATTTATTTAAACTCTTTTTAAGTAGTAATGTTCGATACAGATTAAATTTGCATTTTTATTTTGCGGAGTTTATCAGTGAAAAAGGTACAAGTAAAGATAAATTGTTATTAGTGCTATACTTTCTTATTTATTTTTAAACAAAAAACATTCAGAACGTTTTCCTTAATAGATTACTAAAATTAGTAAACAAAAATAATATAAATTAAGATGACCAAAGGAAATTACTGAGTAAACATAATCATATCATTGAGATAATAATAAATCATAGTCGAATACTGACGTGTTATAGTCGCAATATTTAAAACGAATATATTGCACAGGGCTGCAAGTAAAAAGATAAGATTTTATCCAACGAATAAAACTATTCGGACACATTTTAGTTTTGGGTAATTTACACGAATCTGGAGTTGACCGATTTTCAGATTTTAAATATATATATATATATATATATATATATATATATATATATATATATATATATATATATATATATATATATATATATATATATATATATACACATATATATTTAAATGTATTATTTTATTTGAAATTGTTATTAATAAAGATCTTGTTTTTTAGATGCAAACGCAGTGTATAGTTTATTTACAGTTAACATTATACAAGATTATATATATATATATACATATAGAGAAAATACGTATATTTGTTGTAATAGAAATTATAATTATTATTCATTAATACGTATTACTTATCTACAATAGTAAGCTAACTTGTTCATGCCATCTGTTAAAAGCCCATAATATATTACACTTGCAGTCAGTAAACAATCAGTAAAAACCATGAATGAAGGACTTATTCACATAAGAACATATCTTGAAAATCATATATATACATATATATATATATATAAAGCGACCCTAAGAATTCAACAGGGAGAAATTTAGTACTTGTGGCAACACTTTGTAGCTGATTTTGGTACCTCTAATCAGCTCCCTTTTTTTATAATATTGATAAGAGGGTCTTAGAGTTAGAAAAGTAATTCTTCTTTACTTGATATAATAATTCATAATCAAAAAAGTGTATTTTTAATAAACGTGTATACACAAAATTATTAGTAGACTCAAGTACAGTAATCTGTCTAGATTCTTTTGAAGGCAAGTTCTAAGAAAAATAATTTAGAACTTTTCTAAAAAATAAAATTAAAAACATATCATTGTATCTTGGACCACTATTTTATAATGTATCTTGTATGTATGGGCCGGCCTATGGTACATTAATATAATTTCAAGATATGTCTCTTATGTGACTAAGTCCTTCATTCATGGTTTTACTGATTTTTTACTGACTGCAAGTGTAATATATTATGGGCTTTTAACAGATGGCATGATGAACAAGTTAGCTTACTAGTGTAGATAAGTAATACGTATTAATGAATAATCCGTACATATATTATTACAGTAAGGCTCGAAATCGGTTTTGTACCAAATATAAGCTCCTGTCATGCTCAAATGCCACGAATGGGGTACCGTTGGATTCAGGATTTCACGGGGGGTTAGCGAATCGTATTCTCCACTTTTTTTTTTCTTAAATAAATAAAGTCGATACAAACATTTTGCTAGGCTTCGATATTGGAATGGTGTTAGGTCTGTAGATCGATACATGACAAATTGGATCTTGAAGATTTTGACGCGTACAGCAAGACCCGGATAGTTCCCCCGGAACTATTGGATCCTGCGTTTTTATGAAGAAAAACGTACTATTTTCGAGATAACGCAAGGCATAGGATTCGCATTCACACAACCTTACATTAATTGTAGTACTGTCATTGAATACATGTCACATTTCGTCGACTTGAGGTCTCTATGATCGAGAGAGGGGGAGTTTATATTATTCATCGATGGTGTTTTTGATCGGCAAGGCATATCATCGTTAATTTTTCACCAAATCTCAAGATTGAGCCACTAATTTCGAAGGCTTCCTTCTCCTTCAGGCTGGCAAAATAGTCCAATCACCCAGAAAATTCAGGCAAACAAGTTATGAAAGGAAATAAACTTTATTTGCGAATAACTGAAAAATTACACACTTTTTCCTGCCTATAATTATATAAAACATTACTAAATTCCCTACAAAAGGAAAAAAAAAATCATCGCAATCGGACAATTTTTAGCAAATATACAGATTACTGAAATTTGTATACAATTTGTGGTTCCAAACAAAAATTAAGATTTAAATTAATTTTTGTTTGCTTCGTGGATTATATTTATCGATAAAGTTACATTTGATGTCTTAATCTTTTGATAAGTTGCATTATCTTATTTTCTTATTAATTTGGCATTTCATAACAATATGCTGTGCGAATTTTTCGCACGGGCCTACTAGTAATTAGTAATTATAATTACTTGAAATAACTGGAAACCGTACCATATGGTAATTTTTAAACAACATAATGTGTTAAATGTATGAATTAAATAATTAACGGTTGGGATTCGTTGCAGGTTTTTTACATCTTCCCTTCCAGCAGAAGGTTAATTTACATAATTAACCTTGAAATTGTCTCCTGCGTGTGGTAGAAGTTTGCATCAGAACGCTTTCTTTCGGAATCTACTTCTTATATTGTTTTAGATTTTTTTTCGAATTATTCTAAAAGGTTCCTTACGTATTTCATTTAGCTTATTTCTTTTTTTTTCAAACGTATAATTTTTCTTGTATTTATCTATTCTTTCTTTGTTTCCTTTATGCTATTTTTGAGAATTCGTGAATGGTTCTTAGTGATCTTCATTCAAGTTTCTGTTGGATCCTACCCACTGGGTAAAAGAATGATTCAATACCATATAGTAAATATAGAGTTGAAAATTTAGTTATGCTGTGAATCGTGCTGTTATACTCGTCTGTACATTCCATTGTAACTTGTGACTATAGTAGGTTCCGTTGTTCATTTATTTTGCAACGAATTCTACTCACTAAAGGCTGTTTTGGTTGGCTAGAGAATTTTGAATTCCATGTTCCTTCACAATTGGTTCTAATATTTTAATAAAATCTGCAGTTTTTTGTCTCGAAAATGGGCGAACAAAATCTTGTGAAATGGTCTGCTAGTGAATGTAAAAATCGTTTTGGGAAACGGTTTCTTGCCAAGTCGTTGAAAGTTGCAAAATTTATACCTTTATTCGCAGTTCTATATTTTAACACTCCAATCACCTACTCTGGAATAAACTTACTCACTGTTTGTACTATGACTTCCTGTCCTACAGTATCCTATAACAATATCCCACTTATCCCTGTTGACCAAATCCGATACCTTGGACTCACTTGGAATCCCCATACCAAATTGAAACGACTAGAAACCGCTCGACGTTTCCGACTGCTCCAGAACTTACTAGACAAACGCTCTAAACTGCCAACTATTTACAAAATACTCATATATATTACTATGATAAGACCTATTTGGACTTACGGGATCGAGCTTTGGGGCTCTACTAAACCATCAAATTCCTCTCGTATCCAAATCCTACAATCCAAAATCCTTCGTAAAATCCTTAATGCTCCCTACTTTATCACAAATAAAATCATCCATAATGACCTTAATGTACCATATGTTTCCGATTTAGCTCAATTCAGATACCTGTCCTTTCATAATAAACTTCTGGACCATCCAAACCCTCTCTTTTCCAACCTTGCTTTCTCTGCTATTCCTGAAAACCCTCCGAGGTGTCTGAAAAGAAGATGGCCTCGGGACCTTCTAACATAGAAATATAATTGGAGTGCTACCAATGGGTAGTTTCTCTTCATGTTTTACATGCCATATTACCTGTTCATATTTACTTGTTGTATTTATTATTAATTACAGTTGTAAATTTCGTTAATAAAAAAAATGGTTTTAATGATTTGTTATCTGTAAGCTTTAAAGTTTAGCTCCGCTTAAAATGCACTTCAAAAAATTAATAATAGCATAACAATAATTTTGTATGTTTCTTATTACCAGATCGGCTTAGTAAGCCATACAAAGGTATATTAACAATAACTAAATTTTAAAAACATTTGGAAAGATCTTATTAAACTTAACTTTTTCAATAATTTAATTTCCAATTATTGCTTATTGTGGGCAATCGCTTTTCCATTACCTACATGCAGCTTTCCAGCATCTTTATTTTTGGTTTACCTCCTATGATCTTACCTATTATGGAGGCATTCATTGTTAAAACTTCCTAATAGACTTTTCTGAGCTACTTGTCCCACTCATCTTAACCTCCTCGCCTTCATATCATGAGATATTGATGAACCAGTTTCAGTAACCAGTTCTTTATTGGTTATTTTCCTCCATGGAGCCCATATTTCGAGCATCTAGTATCCTTTTCTTCTTCCCAATTTTATGGATTAGTTGTAGTAGCTTGGCTCTTAAGTCTTTTCGCACATCTTTAAACAGGCTGTCAATTCCTGGAGCCTTTAAAATAAAAGGGGTTTAGATTTTTTTTTTCACACAAATTCTGTAAACGTTCAGTATTTTTTAAACATTATTCTGCTGTATTATAATAGAATTTTATAATAATATAAAAAAACATTATGTTATTTCATTTCTAGCGATGAAGGTATTCTGCCTCCTATTCCTAGTGGTCATAATCCAAGCGCTACCAAATCAAAGCCACTGGCAGCAGTTTAAGGTAAATTTAATAATTAGATTAAAATATTTTTTTCTTGTTTATTAAAAATTACTTATATTTAATGAACATTCATGTTTCTCTTTTCTATTTTCAGGTTCAACACCAAAAGAAATATCTTACCATTGACGAAGAGCAAAAGAGAATGGACATATTCCTCAGTCATCAACGGTACATAGAGGAACATAACAAAAATACGAAAAGGGTCTGGTGTCATACTCATTAAGGATGAACCGTTTTGGTGATATGGTTAGTCTAAAACCACCACAGTAAAAAATAGGCATATGTTGTATGTTTCAGTTTGTTGGGTGTGTATAGATGGTCGTTGTTCCATCGAATAGAAGATTTCATCCGTATGCAATCAATCCCTAACTGCGTTCTGAATTTGGGACAAGCTAAACCTGCGATTCTTGGGTTTAGGCATGTCAAGGAAAATGAATTCCCCCATGCGTATGAGAAAGGTTTTTTTTTAATGTTTATTGTGTATTAATACAGTCTAGTAAATTGAGTTTATAAAACATAATGTATTCTCATGGCTTATTAAATCTGCCAGTTCCTGATCATTTCTAATGCCCCACACACTCTGGACGATACCGATTCCTGATCGCTTCACTCATCTTATTTTCGCAATTGATATTTACTTCAAGATACATAAAGTGCTTAGCTGCTTCAAACGTAGTATCATTAAACCGAAAATTGGCAGACTTTTTTGCTTCAGATACAGACACCACCATGTCTGCATTTTACTTTCGGGCATTAGCTCAGTGAGAATTTCTCTTATTTCTAGTTTGTCTCTTCCAAGAATTACTAGATCATCTGCATATCCGAGAATCTGTGAGATTCGGGTAGCAAAAATTATCCTCAGTTCAATTGTCTTTAGGGTTTTCTACAGACACAGGTTAAACAATATGTCAAACACAGCATCACCTTTTCGCACTTAAGTGTTGGGATGAAAGTCGTTTTGCCAATAATTCATTGTTAAACCATTCCTAGTTTCCATCTTCCACAGTTCTGTCTTGCAGTTTTTCTTTAGCTCTGCCTTGATTCGCGCCTTGCGTTGCTTATTTTGAAGCTTGTTCCTGATCATTAAATTGCTTTTTCCAAGAATGAAAAACGGTGTATGTATATTATTACAGTACGTTATTAAATATCTATTATTTGTTACAGTCCAAAGAAGAATACTTAAACTTGTTCAGAGCCAAAGTCTCAGCTTCGAAGGCTTTCAAGTCTGAATCATTCCAGAAGTCAGTGACGAAACTTCCAGAAGAGGTCGACTGGAGGGAAAGTGGAGCTGTCACTCCAGTGAAGGATCAAGGAACCTGCGTCGCCTGCTGGGCATTTAGTGTGGTCAGTATTATGCATGTCTCTATTTAAAAAAAATATAATAAATGTCTTACGTAACTTTCTGATGGTTTAAAAATATATTAGAAGAACCATTACATATATTAAAACTTGTTGCTGTTGTATCTGATTTTTATAGTGAATATAAAAGTTGCATAAAGTATCCTGTTTTCCCAAATTAAGCGAAGTGAAACAAGGGTTATGTGTTTAGGTTGACCGCTATAAGCTGTTTTCGATTTTCTGTGAGAACTGCTGGATCATTTTTTAATGTTTGATGGTTCAAATTTAAGATATCTCTAATGGTTTTGAAACAATTCGAGCTAAAAATACTAACTCATTATTTAATAAAATGTATTTTATCAATTTACAAAACACTTTGTAATTCTGTTTTGAGCGAGCGGATAGATCAATTTTTAGGTTTGAGGGCTCAAATTATTCTGTATTGAATTATTGTCCCTAGACTGTAACGCCTAAACGAATGTACCGATTTCAATGAAACTTCGCTCAAGTCTTTCTCCCGATGCCCTCTTAATTTATCTATATAACATACTTCAACGAATAGAAGCTGGAAAATAAGTTACGAGGGATGGTAAAATTAGATTCTGAATAACTCAAAAAGTATATACTTTTTTATTGATATTGTGATAAGATGTTTCAAAGGTATCAATGTGTTTAAAATAATCGTTAAAATCGGACAATTAGGAGCAAAGATATGATCTATAGATGTTTTTTATATTTTCTACTGTAAAGATTACATCCTTTTGGTATTTGATTTTTGAATTTATTGCTGAAGTAATGCTAATTTTTTTAGCATATTACTAATTATTAAAAAAAAATATGTTTTCTCATATAATTGGAATCACTTCTTTTTTTTTTCTTTGCCACTAGAAAAGTAATTTGGCTTTAGATGTATAGTTGTTGGAAAATAATTAAACATTGTGTAATAATTTGCTGCGTTTTATATTTATGATCTGGTAGCCTAACCTGATAACGATATAGACATGAAGTATTTTTTTTTTTTTTACTTCTGTGTTAACTATACCTATAATATGAACTTTCTTGTTACCACTTATAGACATATATCAGATATCTTAACATTTAAATATAACATGAATTTTCTTGTTAACTTCTTATCTTAAGATATAGATATAATGTGAACCTTTTTTTTCTGTCTACTATCCTAACAATTAGATCTAATATGAAATTTCATCATACCGCTAACTGAAGGAATAGATGTGAGGTGAACTAACAAAAGTTGAAAAAACAAAAGTTAAATTTCTTTTTACCTTTATCTTAACATATAGGCAGAATATGAACTTTCTTTCCTTAAAACCGACGGATAGACGATAACTAAGCTAAGCATAAATCGATACCAGATTTGTATCAAATAACATTCATGATCTTTTTATTTTATTCAGACGGGTGCTATCGAAGGACGCCTATTCCTGAAGACGAAGAAGTTGGTTTCTTTGAGCGAACAGCAGTTGGTCGACTGCTCCAAGAACAACGATGGCTGCAATGGAGGAGATGCCACCGAAGCCTATGAGTACTTGAAGTACGTTGACGGGATCGAAGCCGAAGAGATTTATCCTTACCGAGCTCTGGTACAGAACTTTATTATTTATTACAAGGACCATATTATATAAGAATACAGAACGAGAGTATCAAAAAGTAAAGGGAAATTGGAAAAATCTATATATTTATTGCAAGTTCATAAATAATACAAGCATTTATTTTGAAGACATAAGATCTTATTTTTGGCCGTATGAGGACAATCGTTATCCTAAAGCGAAATGAGGCCATCTTAAAGTTCCTCATCTTTTGGATTTGATTACTGACTTCAATAAATGCAGTAGTTGTCATTATTTATCTCTAAAGTAATGAATCAATTCTACTCTCTATATTGCTGCTGCATTCAACAGAAAATCTCTACCGGCTTCATATCATTTGAATTGAGGGAGGTAAATTTCTCATTGCTCGCATTTCTTACTTGGTGCAATGTGACAAAGGAGGACTAATTTTGAACAGACTTTTTAAAATAATCGTAAGTAGCTAACGATGAAACAATACTTTTGATGAACAGCTGATAGACGATATTAGCTATAGTAGAACCATTAGTGACGTCACAAACATTAAGAGAAATATGCTAATTTCTCTTTACTTTTTGATATATGTGGGACACATAATGGAGAAATTCTTAAAGAATGAGCAGGTCAACATTGGCAGATAGCATTCAATCCCGACCGGATACTAGACAAGTACCAATATTATAAATAATATACTTATAGATAATGGAGACAAAGAGTTCAGACCTCTAATGATTTTAAATTGAATGACAATATGGATGTTTACCATTCATTTTACTTTGATTTAGTGTGATAATTACTACTATTATAAAAAAAGAAAAGAAAAATTGAGTTAGGGAAAATAAAGTAATAATGTAATATGTACGTGCAGGCTGGTAACTGCAGCACCAGTAGAGGCGCTGAGGTGACAGCAATAAGTGGGTACCTGACCCTTCCTTCTGGTGACGAAGCTGCTCTCCAAGAAGCAGTTGCTGCCGGCCCAGTCTCGGTTAGTGTAGATACGAGATCAGTTGACTTCATGTTTTACTACAAAGGTATCTTAGTAATTACAATTTAATTTACACTTATAAGAGTCTTAATAATATGATAAGAATAACATAAACGCAAATTGAAACTTAATTTATTCTATTCAAATATAAATTTGTACTTTTAAAACGATCGCAATTATTTTTACCCGACTAAGTCATACAAAGTAGGTTGTCGGCTGGAAGGTATGTAACGATTTTTCGAGAGGACGGGTGGATTGATTTTCAAACTTTAATTGCTTAAATTATTTGGTGAGAATTATTATGAAACATCTTGAGCTCAAAATAATATTTTTTTTATTCTAATATTTGTATGGGTTTTATATCATATCATACCATAAGAAGAAACACGGTACATTCTGAGTGAATAATGTTATTCTATATCTTAAAAGTGTAGCAAAATGTATTATTTGTCAATAAACAGATATATAAAAAAAAATATATTATAAATAGTAGGCACCCAACTTAAACATACTACTGCGCCAAGTAAATATTCATAGATGTCTAATTTTCTAACATTCTATATGATTTTTTAAAATAGTGTATATAAATTTTTAGTAATTACAAACGGAAAATTGCCTATGAATCGCTAATCCTGAAAAACTGAATACGTTTAAGAATACTGAAGTACTCAAATATTAATATAAACCATTAAATTTCAGGCGTATTTTACTCTTTGGAATGCAGCTCAACCGCACACAACATGGCAATGCTTGTAGTGGGCTACGGGGAAGAGAGATACAAGGAGTTCTGGCTAGTGAAGAGTTCGCTGGGAATCGACTGGGGCGACTTCGGTTACATCAAGATGGCGAGGAACCGGGGAAACAACTGCGCGATTGCCACCGTCGCCAGCTATCCTACTCTACGATGAAAATAAAACTTAATTTAATTCCTTGGTATTATTTTTTTGAAACCCAGGCTTCTAAACATCTTATCTAAATCAATTTACTATTATTAGGTGAGTTCGGAATGAATGAAAATTGGATGGGGGAACTCTCCAAGAAAGATAATGTATTCCTAGATTATAAAATAAACAGACAATAATTCGATGGGAAAGTTTAGCCTGTCACTCCCTTTTAAACAAAATTCCCATACATCTCTCAGTTGTTATTGTGTATTTCCAGGTTTTTACCGTACATTGTCAGAAGGCAATTCCCATCATCCAGAATGGAGATGAACCTATCTCGTATTCTATAATCAATGGTTACCACACTTATATCACTCCTTACAAAAATCCTTAAATGACGCCCATCAAATACATATCTATTCTCCTTTGGAATACGAATAGTATTAGAAGATGTGAAAATGAAGAAAATATATTAATTAAAAAATTCCTGAGGGAATGTACTTCCATATCTACTAAAACATCTTCGTAGATTGATAGAGGAATTGACATCTGCGAATATTTAAACTTGATGTAGTAGTCGGGTTCCTATCACAACCCAGGACTTTTTCGGGTGTTGAAATCCACAGATACACGATACGAAATCTATTTGCCTAGACCCGTAATGTGTAGTGAAAGGAACCCGACCACTACATCAATTCTAAATATTCTTAGATGTCAACTCCTCTATCAATCTTCCAAAATGTTTCAGTAGATGTGGAAGTATACTCCCTCAGTGGATAAAATTTCCCAATTCCTGTAGTCGAGTTTTTTACAATTAATTTTTGTTTGTTTGTTTTTTACTATTTTCAATGAATAGTAATCGAAAAAAAAATGCAAGAACTTAAACCCCTCTTAAAATTTGAGGTTTTACGTTTCAGGATACGTAGAATTCGAAAAAACGAATAAAAATTGTTTGTCAGTCCGTCGTCCGCGCATTTTCTCCGAAACTACACGACCGATTTTTTTCAAATTTGGATTTTAAATAAGAGGTCACCCGAGGATGATCCTCTTTCATCCATATTATTATCCGACTTTTATTTTAATAATGACGACCGAAAAACCTGGGTTGCTGTGGACTGTAGCGCCTAAATGAATGTACCGATTTCAATAAAACTTCGCCCAAGTAATGATTAAAAACAAATGTTTTCTCCAAAAATTGATATCACTTTTTATTTATTTTTCTTTGTCAATAGGAAGATAATGTTCCTTTAGATATATAATTGTTGGGAAATCACTTTGAAGAACTAACAGTTTTACTACTAGACAAAAACATTGACGTAGCTCTAATTACAGATACTCGACTGACCATAAAACAGCATTTAAAAATTCCACAGTATGTAACATACCGTACTGCCCATCCTGACGGTAGAGCACATGCCGGTACTGCTGCCATCGTACACCAATCCCTCTCTCATCACTTACACCCATTACCTACTGTGTATTTCCAGGTTTTACCGTATATTGTCAGAAGGCAATTCCCACCATCCAGAAGGAGATGAACCTACCTCGTATTCTATAATCGAAAATATTTTACTCCAGGATGCCGAAATAAGCCAGAGGTGTGTTCTAAAGATATCCTGTTAGTGGGATATATATTGGATTAAGGTCATCGGGATCGGTGCTGACATTGAACAGCCATTATTCGTGTGTCTAGACCGATTTTATCGTTTGATAAGATTTTTGTTCTAAAACATAATTAATGAATAACAATAAATTATATACAAACTAAACATTTAAAAAATCCCGCCTCTAAATATCATTTATAAATCTTTTATTTACCAGTACTGACTTATTCTGTGGAATGCTGGACAATAATCAGAAATCAGGAACAGGCTCTGCTAAGATTTGAGAGGCAGATTCTGAGGAGAATATTGGAAGCAATATGTGCAAGTGGAGTCTGAAGAGAGCGGACTAATGCCGAATTAATGAAATTGTAAGGGAATGTTGTCGTGGTTACATTTATTGAAGTTGTACCAGAGAGATTGAACATATTATCAGATTGCCTGATGATCGGGGTCCATAAAACAAAATTCCTCTTGGAAGAAATCTTTGGGAAAAACCGGAGAGGAATACCAAAGTTATGATGGATGAGTGGTGTTGCTGCAGAGCTCCGATACATGCTTAGAATTCGAAACTGGAAGACGATAGTGCGGTACAGGGATGATAGGGTCAAATATGTAAGACATTTAAGAAGATGATCTTTAATATTTATCTAAGAATATTATTGTTTGAAATTATGTCACATTATTTTTTTCCTTTCCTATTCTATCCATTTATTATTTCCATGAGGTTGTCTTACTAGAGATAGACCCAAATCTGTCCTAATCAGAGTGGAAGGTCGAGATTCATTCCGTAGATCCAGCAAAAAACAAACAAATATATTATAATATATTAGATAATTTTACAGACAAATAGAAAGTAAGGTAGAGAAATTGAATCGAGTCAATCCGGTAAAAGAGTGCGAAATAGTGAGTCTAGTGTGTAGGTAAGGCTATAATATATGATTCTCAAAAGAAAACTGAGAAGACGGAGTGAAACAAGACTAGGAGTGCTTTCCAGTAGACTCTTGCAGGAGAGCAGAGGTGTAATAACAGGTGAAGGAAGTAGTCGTAGAAATACCATCTATTGAGATCCTCAACAATTCTTGCCCAGTAAAAATGATGGTATTTTCCATCACATTATTCCTCAGACAAACACAGTACGTTACCTATGACTAATATTCGACAGAAGGATGACCTGGGTCCACACGTCAAAATCGAAATTGGAAGCCCGACAAAAACTAAATACATACACTTACCTGCTCAAACCCATCTGCATATATACCTCTCAGATTTACGGTTCGGCAAAAAAGACGCATTTACAAAAACTACAGTCATTTCAATCCAAAATTTTGCGAGTTATAACAGGAGCTCCCTGGCACCTCGAAAACAAAACTTTACATAACGACTTACGACAATCATGTATAGACCAACACATATTTACTCTCTACTCTCGTTTTCATCTCAACATCAGGAGGAGACTAGGCAACAACAAACAACTAAGTTGTAAAAAATTGTTAGTAAAAAAAAATATTATTTTATTAATTTTGTAGAAGATAAGGCTGGTTGGAGTGCTTCAGTAAGAAAATGTTAAAATAAATAAATTATATTTTTTCGGCCCAAAGTTCAATCAAGCCTTCTATCAGGGCTGGTCAAACGAGATATTCCCGCAAGACAACAATCATGACAGTATTTATAATCGAAGAGATGAAAGAATAGCGTGTGTTATTATAGAAGAGAAGACTGGTTGGGGGTATTCAGGAAAAATAAATTAATCATATTTATTTTTATTTTTCAGACGTTTCAGACAAAAGTGTAGGCCTTCATCGAGGCTGGACAAACAAGAGATTCCTTTAAGACAAACAACAGGTTTCTTGGTTTGTTAACAACCATAGGCGGGACTAAGGAGGTGGTCGTTCAGGCAGAAGCTCCTCCTCCCAAAAAAATGGTGAAATGTAACTACATGTTGTCCAAAAAAATATTTGAAAAAATTATCTCTTAAAGCATTAGTTTTGGTGTAATTAAATTTAAAAGGACTTGAAATATCACTTAAACACCATTACGTATAGGTAGTTAGTGTCTTTATTTTTTTTCTAAAGTAATTATCGTTACATATATGAAAAGAAAAGATTTCGGACTTAAGCTCCCCCCTCCAAAAAAAAATTAAATCCTGGATCCGCTAGGTCTGAACTATGGGCCGAAACGTCGGCAAAAATAAAAATAAATATGCTTTATTCAATTTATTTATTTATTTTTTATTTTATTATTTTTCAGCAATCGACATAATTTAAAACAATATATGAATATGAGAACACACATATGTATTTTTTGAAAGCTTTATAAAAACCTTTTGCCCTCAAATATATCTTTTCTATTATAAAACATGTACTTTATAAATTTACATCAAATTTCCTACGTTACATTATATTAATTGGATGAAGAAAAATTGTTTTTACCCCAGTGTTTGAGTCGCCGGCCACTTCAAATTAATTCATTCTAATTTTAATTTGCATTATTGTGTTTGAATGTTTGTTCAAAGCTCTGTGAAACATTCTCTGCCCACTCTGGAAAACAGTAGTATTCCTCGAACTAATGTAATTTATGCAAAAGGTCACCGAAATTTCGAAGTTTCATCGACAAATCATGGTAGATAGTCACTGTATTGTTAAGGTTAGTCTCCAAGGTTAGGAGGTATGGGCAACCTAGTTGAGTAGGTCCTATAAATTAAGGAAAAGTCGACAGAGATCATTTTTTGACAGTTTATATTATATACGACCTATATTATATAAACTATATCTTACTAATTATATAAGTTAATATTTTTTTATTATGTTAATATTAAATAAATATTTATTAAAATTCAGACTCTTGAAAGTAAAGAAATCACGGAAATATGAAGATTCAGTATTGGCTGGAATCCTGAAGTTACGACAATTTTTGTAGTTGTCGACAAAATTTCTACTCAACAAAAAAAAAATCCTAAAAATTTCAATATTTCAATTTCTATAAAAATGTCTAAAAAAAGTTGTCTTTTTTAGTGCGCATAATGCAAACTTAGTTTCTCTCCCGAAAATGTTTACTCTTGATACAAGGCCGGTATTGAAAAAAAAAAAATTGTATATGGCTGATAGCTACAATATGAAAACAATTCGGACCAACTGACACACCAATGTGGGAGTAAATATATTTTTAGGAAGAAACCAAGTTAATGTGAGGTATTTACTGCTTCATATGCTACATGAAATTGTTTATAACCAAGTTAATTTTTGGTTTAAAAAAGAATTAAATCTAGATGTTATTTACGGAGTTGGAAGAGCAGTAACTCCGTTTTCCATTGAATGTATAGATGTTTAATTTGGAATTAAATCTCTTTTTTATTTAAAATAATATGAAACTAGGACTCTGATAAGATTGATAAGATTTGGCCTCGACGGTGAGCAGTTTCAGCGAAATAGACGGGCATGAAACGGATGGCTGCGTGCAATAGCGGTCGCTGCCGTGGACAGTATGCCTTTACTCCAACCTCTTCGATATCCTCAATTGTCACGCACCTCTAAAAACACTTATCTTTAGACGTCCTCTCGCTCCTTGAATCAATACAGAAAGAACAGCACTAACGA